TATATATATATATATACATATATATACATACATATATATATATATATATATATATATAATATATATATATATATATATATATATATATATGTATACATACATATATATATATATATATATATATATATATATATATATATATATATATATATATATATATATATATATATATATATATATATATATATATAGAGGGAGAGAGAGAGAGAGAGATATTTATATTGTTAAAGTGACAATTAATAATATATTTTATATTTTATTAAAAACATCCTGTTCGGTTATATATTATTTTTATTATTAAATGGTGATATTTCGATGGATATAAATTAATAATATAAAACGAAACTTGAATTTTATTTTTATCAATAAACATGTCTATAGCCTCAGATATAAATGAAAAAGAATTTTTAACCCTACATTCGTTTTTTTTTAAGTGTAGGTTATTTTATTTCAAGAAGATGTTGTACACCAGCTCTTAAACTTTCATGCGAAAGTTTATGAGCTGGTGTACCAGTAGTTGAAAATATAGTTCACATAGTTTAACCTTTATGTGCTTTAATGCATCCATATAATCTAGGTGGAACAGTGTCAGAAGAATATATTTTATCATAAGTTTTTTTTATCAAACAGGAAGGATTTATTTTTTCATAAGTTGTTTTTTCATACAAACAATTTTTAGATATCGCTAAAAATTATAAACAATTATATCACATAAAAATGCAATAAATAAGCAAATAGACCCTGGAAAAACTGTCATACTACTCATGCTCATGACTAATTTCTTTAATCTGGTATTTCACTGCATTTATACTTTTAAAGCAATATTCCCATCAAGCATTGCCTCATAATAAGTTTAATATTGTTTCATTTAATATTATATTAAATATTTAGTTGCTTTGTTGATGCAGCAATAATCATATATTAATTATTTAATGTAGTGAAATAATTCTGAATTTTAAAAGTATTTTTAACACTATCATTTATAATTAAATTGATGTCATTCCCACCACACTGCGTATACCATGCTTTATTGTTGCCAATATTCAACTTTTCACTCTATTATATACCCTTTTATATTGCGTGCATTGTCATACGACTGCAATCAACAATGTTGATTCCTATTATTTTTAATTCCTCAATAATAACGTTTGCTAAATTTTCTCCAGTTAATGATATTATATTTACAAAACTTGAAAAACTTTCTTGAACATTTAGCGTTTGGTCCACTACTTTAACATGCCAAATAATGATGGACCACTGGTCCTTTTTTTATGAAAATCTGGTGTAAAATCTATCATTACAGAAAAGTCTAAAAATGCAATAAATAAGCAAATAGACCCTGGAAAAACTGTCATACTACCATGGACACTGAAATTAGGCACTATACTTAAAAGAGAGTTAGGTATAGTAGGTATTAAAACCGTTTATCGCTATAGTAACTCTTTACTTAATATTTCATGTCGCAAAAAATCAACATTGCATCCAAATAGTTATCCTGATCTTTGTCAGTTAGATTGCTCATGTGGTGCGAGTTATATTGGCGAAACTAGAAAAAAAGTTTTCACAAATGATAATGAAGATGAAAGAAACATAGCTAAAAGTAATTGGAAGACATCAGGAATAGTTGAACACGACCAACATTGTTGTGGTTCAATTAACTTTAGTAAACCAAAAATTATTTCTATTACTCCTTATAACTATACGCATAAAACTCAAGAAGCAATTGAAATACAAAGCTTACAGTGCTCTAAATGACAGAAGTATATCTTAAATCGCAACAATGGTAACTTAGTGATGACACGCCATTGGAGACTACTTTTTGTTAAACTTAAGCCTAAATCTGCAACGGTGCAATGACATCATTTTTGTTTTTTAAGTTTTTATGAATTTTGTATAACAGTTTTTTCAGTTTGATAATGGTTTATACTATATAAGCCGAAATATCACCATTTAATAATAAAAAAATATATAACCGAACACGATGTTATTAATTAATTAAATATATATATATATATATATATATATATATATATATATATATATATATATATATATATATATATATATATATATACATATATATATTTTGTATATTTTTATATATATATCTTATACTGCTGAGATAGGTGAGCACGATGATGTCATACTCACCTAACGTCAAATAGTCTGCTGCTGGGGGCTTCAGTACATACATCAACTGACAAATAGCCTGACCCGCAGTGGAGTGCTGATATATCGACTTAAGGTTTGGTATGGGTCAGCAACCTTTTCATTCATTATTCTTTGTTTTCCCTTATCATTATCTAGAAGCACTCACTTATTTTAGGCTAGCAAAAAAAGTGAGCGATGTGTATATATATATATATATATATATATATATATATATATATATAAATATATATATATATATATACATATACATTTATATATAACACAATTATATATACTAATACACAAATGTATATACTTATAAACTATATTGATAATTTTTAAGATAATACCTCATTAAAAGTAATTTCTAACCAACTATCAATTGGATCTTCTGGACACCAACCATTCCTGCTTATTGATTCATTGTCTAAATTATTATCTGTATTTCCAAAAGTACTACTAGCCCTGTATGCAGAAATCGGCAATTCATTCAACAATTGTAGATCACATTCTAAGTTTAAATAAAACAAAACTATTTTTTTACTACTTGCCTGTTTGTGATAATACATAAAATTATGAGCAACAGATATATATATATATATATATATATATATAATATATATATATATATATATATATATATATATATATATATATATATCAAGCAGTAATAATATAATAAATATTAGCAATCAACTAATTCTTTGTAATTGTATGTACTTGAATAATCAAAAACTTAAGTTTTATCATTACTGCAAATAATAGAACAACAATGTTGAATTCTGTGGACTATTTACATGTCAATTATATCTGATAATCAAAATAATTTTGCATAAAAAGGCACATAAAGTAAAAACAGTTACGATAAGTTTGTTATTGCAGGCTTTGTGCAGGTTTGTTATTGTAATGTTGATTGCGTATTTGAATAAATTATTCATAAAAATTGAACAAAATCTTTTGACTTAGTAGCGGTATAAACTAAGTAGCGGTAAAAAGCAGAAGCCTTTTGAAAATATTATTAAGTTATAAATTATAGTAGATACTTGCAGTTAATTTTTTGGTTAATTGTTACTTTAATTGTTATTACTATATTATATATTTGTGTATTACGTAATATATTAAAATTTATACTTGTGTTACATAAACATATATACTGTATAACAAAATATAATATTAATGTTAGCTAAAAGTTAGATAAACAACATAAACTTTGACATATAATGCCTAATTTTGCCAAATAACACACTTTGATGCTCATCATAAATGCTGCTGTATATGCTATCAAAAAGCAGACAGAACACTTTAAGATACAGCTTTGATACTCATTTAAACATTGGTTTTATTAAACTATAGCATTGACAATTCATCCTTTGCGACTGGAATATGCAGCACCTGTAACAGAGTATTATTACTACATGGAGAAACCGATGTGGGAACTACTCGTCCTCTTTGTAAACATCCACATCAGGAATAGTCCTCTCCGTAAAAAAGTAAAAATCTTTGTGATTGGATTACCTGCAAAGTAGTAAAATCAACAATACCTGGAACAAAAACAACTAAACCTAAAGGTAGACTAAGAGTTCAGTAAAAACCATCTAAAACTATATGTAATCAGTGCTTTCAATACATTGATTCATTACGAGGTCATAATTGTACAAAAGGTTTTTTGTTCAACAAACCATCGTCAGATGATTGAAAGCTCCTTGAATCAAGAAGCAGGAAAAAATAGAGCTGCAGATCAAATTAGAGAAAAGTTTAAAGAACCAGTGATTGCATTCCTTAAAACAAGAGGGCAATCATTTACAGTTTCAAAAAGATCAATAAAGCCTACTGCAAAATGGAGTTACAAAGGTTTGATGACCATAAAGGTTGATAGAAAGTTGTCTGGTTCTGATATGGATGCAATATCAAAAGCAATACGGGTTAAGCACGGTAAAAAATCAATAGAAGCTGGGTTTAAAGAATTCATGGTATGTAACAATGGTTCTTTAGTAGAGTACTTCTCAGCAGATGACCTTGATTTTTATAATTCGTAAACTAAAACTTTTATTATGCGACCTGTTGTTCTTGTTAAAGATGTGGAAGAACTCACCTGGAAAAAGATTGAAAAAAGAAAACAAGACACTTTTAATGTTAAAGTGAAAGTACTTTTTTAAATTTGTACTTTTGATGTGGCAAGTTATTTTAGTGATGATATCACCAAGAGATCAAACTATTCCGAGGGGATTTGTCCAAACCTGAAAAAAGAAACGTCTGTTGATGAGACATTACTCATAGGAATATCCTCAAATATTCAGGAGAATTATGAAAACTGTGCTGTCTTTCTCAAAAATATTGATTTTAGAAATATTCAGTTTAAAATTTATTTGAAACTGAATATTCTTATTCTTAAGCTTATTTGAAACTACTTAACTTAATTTTAGGACCTCAAATATATAGTTCAAAGAATCCTTGTTACTTCTGGAATAAGAGTACAGATTGTGTAGATTAGCTTTACTCTAGAGGAGATAAACGAACCTTTGGATCATTTAGAGAGCAAAATATTGCTTGGAAACAAGGATGTAATTCTGAATCACTGAAAGAATTTTATAATTGCAAGAATCAAAACTTTCTGCCAGGAGATAATGAAACTGAAGTTATGGAATTATGCAATATACCTAAACTTCATCTCTATACAGGAACAACTAATTTATTGTGGAATAACTTATTAACAAGATGGGGACAAGAAAGTTGGGAAATCTTCTTAGAAAGGAATTACCTTGTCAGACTAAACTTCACGGTGAAGAGTTTAAAGGAAACCAGTGTAAGAAATTGATGAAATTAACAAATATGCTTAGAGATCTCTTTATGAAGATCTTAGGAAATTTTGTGATGCCATGGATGCTTTCGATACTGTGACTTACTTGTGTTTTAGCAAGATACTCAGTATGGATTTTGAAAAAGCAATAGATGATTTTTTTGATATTTTTATTACTTTGGATATTAAAACAAAGAGTACAAAACTCCATATATTATTTTGCCATGTAATAGAGCTTTGCAGAAATAATAGATACGGACTGGGAATTTACAGCGAACAGGTAGGAGAAACTATTCACTCGAGATTCACTGAGTTTTCCAGATACAAACTTCCAAGTGATTACCACAAAAAAACATACAAAAACGATATATTACGTGTTGTACTTTCATAAAATGCAGAGAGAATTTGAGGCTTTATTTTGTTCAGTCTATATCAGCTGACAAAATGTTCAAACTAAGTTTATTATTGATTTTGATAGGAATCATTAATTTATTGATCTGAAATATAATATATTTTATTTTAAAAAAAGTATTTATTAAAGAGTTAGCTAATTAGCTACTAGCCTATGCCTTAAATAAGTTTTTCTACAAGCTTCATTATAAACATGTTGTTTTTCTGTATATGTTGATGAGAGGAAAACACACTTTTATTATATCATAATAAGCACTATTTTATTTAAGGACACACTTTCAAATTTTGCGAAATACTTTTTTGTGATCACTAAAATCATACCTTGCTAGAAAAACATAATTTAAGCGTGTGCACTTTTTAACATAAACATAAACTTTTTAACATAAACATAAACCCTGTTTTGGGGAAGTGTGGTGTGGAACACAGACAATTTTTTTTGAAAAATTGCAATGTAAATTGACAAGTGCTTTTTCTTTGATGATGCATACTATATCATCAGACATAATTTGTTCTGAGATCTTGCAAAAAATTAAAGTTATAAATAGAATAATGTTGGAAATAGTATAGCCACTTGAATTTAGTGCCTGATTGAAAAAAAGAACTAAATTCCGTTCAATCATTCTTATAGAATCAAACCAGATGCAACTCAGTTTTTATAAAAAAAGTAAACTTTGTAAAAAGTGTTTATAAATGCAGTTTATTTTATCAAGTTTAGATATAAAAGTCTCATGTTTGTTTAAGAGTAATCAATATAATGTAAGTTATTTACAGAAATTGAATTGTTAAAAAACAATTAAAAATATAGAAAACAAAAAATAGCATTAGAATGAGTTGAAATCAAAATAAAAAAAATTAAATATATATATATATATATATATATATATATATATATATATATATATATATATATATATATATATATATATATATATATATATATATATTATATATATATATATATATATATATATATATATATATATATATATATATATATATATATATATATACAAATGTTTTTTTAAAACTCTAAGAATGTTTTTAAAAATACTTAGAATATTTTTTAAAAACATTTAGAATGAAAAAATCTTATTTAATTTTATATATAAAAAAAAAATATAAAGATTATTTATAAATTAGCATAAGTAAATTGCGTTCAAAGCTTACTAAATTTAAATCAGATGTTTCGGTTGATATTTCCTTGATTAGAGTTCGACATGATAAGCAGTCTTGTCATTAGGATTACTTTTGTTATTATTATTGTTTTTGCTTTCTGTTTTATTTTCTTTATAAGTAACTCAACTTTCAATCAATCAATCAATCATTTATTTCTGAATTAATGTAAAATTTAAGGACATTTACGAAGAATAATTTACAAATATAAAGTAAACACCTACTAATGTTAACAAGATTGAATTAAAATAAATATAATGCAAATTCGAAAAGAATCGAAAAGTTAAATTATTTAGATAACAAATAATTTTTTGGAAATATTATAAATAATTCAAAAAAATTAAATAATATATATATAAAGTTCAAAATATTATGGGATCATATTAACATTTGTTTTTAGTTCAAAGTAAATTGGTGCATGGTAAAAACTTAAAATATCTCTTTATGGGCTAATATCTTTTTAACCAATATAGCAATATAACTAAATATAATATAGGGTAGCATATTTTTCTATATAAAGAATAAGAAAATTGGCTAATTGATTTTGCCAAATACACTACTTATTCCTGGTAAATATGACCTTAAAAAACATAATGCTTCAATCATTTCATCACTTAATAAATAATAATATTAATTAGAGATTTAAGTGCCATCACTCACAACAATCACAATGAAGTAATTCAGAAGCACTGAGAAAGTTTACTATAAGTTCTTGTAAACGTCTACAAAAAGTTTGTATTTTAGTCTTTTTTTGAATGTTTCTAAAGTGGCTGAGTTACATAAATAGACAAGCCATTTCATATTTGAGGCGCATTCATGGGGTAAGACTTTAATCCTCTAGAAGTTTTAGATTTTTTGCCTTATTTTGAAATTAGGGTTTCTAAACGTTTGAACAGAAATGCAGATTTGATTTTTAAAGTTTTATATGTAATAACTGATATTTTATAAACTATTTGTTTTTAACACTATCATTTATAACTAAATTGATGTCATGCCCACCACACTGTGTTTACCATGCTTTATTGTTGACTTCTAAAATTCAACTTTTCACTCCCTTATATACTCCTTTTATATTGCTTGCATTGTCATACGACAGCAATCAACAATGTTGATTCTAAATATTTCTAATTCCTCAATATTAACATTTTCTAAATTTTCTCCAGTTAATGATATTATATTTACAAAGCTTAAAAAACTTTCTTGAACACTTAGCTTTTGGTTCGCTATTTTAACATGCCAAATAATGATCAACAACTGGTCTTTTTTTGCGAAAATCTGGTGTAAAATCTATCATTACAGAAAAGTATTTTGTTGATTTAATATTACTTATTATTATATGTAAAACTCTAGAAGCTAGTTGTAAGATTACAATAAAAATATGATGTTACTCTTTTTTCTGTATCAGTAATTGATTTTAAATGTCACTTTAGTTCTAGAAGAAAGTCAGAAAGTAATTCAATTGCTACAAAAAAAATACCATTATTTAGTTTTACCAATATGTTAGCTTTTAGGAGCAGCAACAAGGAAAATCTTTGTTGCTGCCCCTAAAAGCTAAATTTCATTTACTTGGAAATAATACCGCTTTTACAATACATTTTAAAATTATTTGCCACCTGCATTTTTCTTTATTGAACACATCTTCATTAAGCTGATCTGTTCTTGCACTTTGTTTAATGTTAAATTCTAGAACTCACCATTTACACGCTGATTGAAGATGTTTCTTCAAAGATTTATTTCCAGTTAGCGGTATTCCTGTATGTGCATAATTTGAAAATACTCTTAAGGTTAAGCTTATCCTTATTTATGAACACAAACAACGACAGAAGCTGAATATTTTTCCTTTCGAGTTAAAATATAAAAGTTTAATTCTTAATTTTTTTTCACCATTTTTCATTTGTCTATAAAAAAAAGTGTCACTGAAACATCTTCCTTGAGCATTTCTTTTATAATGGATATCTTTAATACTTTTTGATGGCTTCTCTACTAAAAACAGATGTTGCTTGTTGTTGATTTCAACAAGCCATGTTGCAGGATCTAATAAACCATACCTACATTTTGATAAAGTACTGCTCTTCATTTGTGAATTATCACTATTTTCTGAAGTTTTGTTAGATATAATATAAGCAATATTTACGCTATTGGATCCTAATTCATCATTTACATTCTTGTTCAGGTAAACAATGTTTTGAAGACTCAGTGGCTCTTCTTCAACATTATTGTTTTCAAGTTGAGATTTAACATTTAAACTGCTAAATTTAAAATAAATTCATTTCGATTAAAATAATGTTCAAAACTGACAAACTTTTGCCTTAAAAAATTAATCCAATGATCCAGCAAGGATCATTGGATTAATTTTTTAAGGCAATGGATTAATTTTTTGCTTAAAAAATTAATCCAATGATCCAGCAAGGCTATTAAATTCTGCTACTTTACCGATCTGTTTCGCTTTTTTTGTGCTCCTGTTCAAAACATCTTTTTGATTTTTGAAGTAAATACTTGTTGTATGCAAATTTAAAATTAAAAAACAAGTGAATTTAAAAATGTTAAAAAAACTGTTTTTAAATAATAAAAAATAACAATTTGAAACAAAAAAACAACAGAAATATATATATATTTCTGTTGTTTTTTTGAAATAAATATTTAAAAAAATATTATTTTTTTAAATTAATCCCTCATCAAATTTAATTATGTTTTTTCGTTTTCATTTGATTGATTTTTAGATTTTTTGATTTAATAAAAAAATCTAAAAATTATTTTAACTTTTAGATTTTTTAATTTGAATGTCTCAATCATATTTTATTTCATTGCTTGTGCAAATTAAAAACTTCTTTAAGTTGTTATTCTCAAATGTAGTTAATGCTTCGTTTTATCTTTTGTATTTTGTTGTTGTTGCATGTTGGTGAAAAATAAGGAAATATTCCTTAAACTTTCTAAAAAATAAGTTTCTTATCGAAAAGTAATTACTAAGTACTACTAAAGACTCTTTAGATTTGGATTCTAGTGCTAATTTCTTGAAATTTTCTTCTTAAAAAAAGTTGCACTTGTTTTAGTTGCATAAGTACAACTATGCGTATGTATGTGTGTATGTATGTATGTATGTATGTATGTATGTATGTATGTATGTATGTATGTATGTATGTATGTATGTATGTATGTATGTATGTATGTATGTATGTATGTATGTATGTATGTATGTATGTATGTATGTATGTATGTATGTAGGTATGTATGTATGTATGTATGTATGTATGTAGTATGTATGTATGTATGTATGTATGTATGTATGTATGTATGTGTGTGTATGTTTGTATGCATCTATTTATATTTGATACATTTATTTATCTATGTAACATTTATATATATATAGGTAACTAAATTATGTATTTATGTATTATTTAATATGTTATATTAAGAATATATGTATGTTTATATGTTTAACATAAACTAATTATATTTACAGAAAAAGAAGTAAAGAAAATTAAAACGATAAAACAGTATAGTAGTAGAATAGTAATATACCACACTTTGTTGAAATCAATTAAATATATTATTAAGAAAATTCTAACAACCATCCTCTGAGCTGCAGCCAAAGAACTCAAGTTTTAGGCATGGGCGTTCTTCGTTCCATAACTCGGGTAATACCCTTAGGTATTTAGCAGTTAAAGGCGGAGAAAGTCTTAAAGCTGTGTTTGTAACTAAACTGTAATCGTCTTCAGTAAATCCATGAAAAATCTTAAAACATAATTGTACTGCATGATTTAATTTTTAATAGGTATATAAAATTTATTAAAAACTCAGTATATATATAAATCTTTTTCATTGTTTATTAGATTCAATTTATATTATATTTACATTTACATTTACATACTTTTCATTTGTGTGATCACTGCTTAAGTTATATTTATATTTTATTCAACAAATAAATGAAACAAAAATTCTTATTTGGAATATATATCATAAAATATAAAAATGTCAACTACCTTTGCTGGAAAAATACAAGAAACACCATTTTGTAAAATATTATCATCTGGACACTAAAAAAATTATTAGGTGAATGAAGCTAAATAGATTTAAAAAAAACTTTGAGTAAGAAGTTCAAATCAATTATTTGTACTCATCGTGTCTATAAAAGTGTATATATATATATATATATATATATATATATATATATATATATATATATATATATATATATATATATATATATATATATATATATATATATATATATATATATATATATATATATATATATATATATACATATATATATATATATATATATATATATATATATATATATATATATATATATATATATATATATATATATATATATATATATATATATATATATATATATATATGTATATGTATATATATATATATATATATATATACAACAATTGGCACATACAATTATAAACTTGCAAAACTTCTATCAGATTTATTATCTCCATATTTACCAAAACATTATACCACTTTTGACTCATTTTCATTTGTTGAAGATTTAAAACAAATTGACTTAACTAACAAATTTATTGTTTCTTATGATATTAAAAGCTTATTTACTAACATTCCATTTAATGAAACTATATACAAATAATTACTTCAAATTTCAACGTCAGGTTCTCATTTCTTATTTAACAGAAAATTTTATGATCAATTACAGGACGTTGCAATGGGTTCTCCTTTAGCACTAATTTTAGCTAATATGTTTATCGGTTTTCATAAAAAAATGTGGGTTAATAATTGCTCATCCTCCATACCGATTTTTTATGAACGTTATGTGGTGACTTAATAGAAATTTTTAGTTTAGAGTTTGAAGCGCAAGAATTCTTTAAACATCACAATAAACAACACAAAAACTTAAGATTTACTATTGCAAAAGAAAAAGACAACCAATTTCCATTTTTGGATGTTCTTATTAATAAGTCTAATTCACTCTCTACATCAGTTTATCACAAAAAAACATACACGGGTCTCTTACAAAATTTCTTTAGTTTTGTCCCTTCATGTTACAAAACTGGTCTTATACGTTGCTTGATTGATCGAACATATAAAATTAACAACACGTGGTTTGGATTTGATAAGGATATAAAAAATCTTTATTTAGTTTTAAAAAAAAATCAATTTCCGCAAAAAGTTATTGATACTGAAATTAAATTAAATGTTGAAAAGAAAATTAATCCACCTGTTATAATTTGTTACACAAATTTCACTAAAACTAAAATTGATAAAATTATTAAAAAGTATTGAAAAAACGTAGTAATCAAATTTATATTCATAATCAATAAATTAAAAAACAGTTTTTGCAAAAAAGATCCACTTCCTAAGATGCTTAAATCTAACGTTGTCAACAAATTTTCTTGTGCTGGCTGTAACGCCAGTTATATTGGAGAATCCTCCAGACATTTGACAACATAAATGAGCACCTTACAAATGACACGCAATCGCATATTTGTAAACATTTAAATTTATCCATTAATTCTAAAACACTAACTAGTTATGATTGCTTTCAGATTTTGGATACTGCCTCTACAATTAACAAATTAAAAATAAAAGAAGCACTTCATATTAAATGGAAAAATCCTTCTTTAAATATACAAACATCTCATTATATTATAAATTTTTCAATTTAACTTACTCATTATTATTAATATTAATATTTTAATGTAAGGAAGTGCATTTTGTCATAATTTGTTATATAAATTTAATTAAGTTTGTAACAAGATTATTAGCATCCTAGTTGGCGATTTTTAGAGAAAAATAATAATTTTAATAATACTCTTTGGAATAATTATTTTTTATTGATATACTGGCCAATTTTGTTTTGTATTTTTTATTAATTCTGTTATATTTTTATGTTTGAATGGAAACCACTTACTTTTATCACCTTGAGTGATAACGATATAGATGATTTTCGTTTCCATTAAGTATCGACTTTAGGCACAAACACTAGCTATAATAATAATTTAGTTACTAAATGCAGCATTAAAAATAACTTAATAGAAGTTTTTTGTTAAGAGTTTTTTCTAAAGATAATTTTTTATTAAAAAAATCTTACATATTATAAAAACAAAAAATCAATATTTTTTACAAAATAAAAACTTTATTTTGTAAAAAATATTGAAGTAAATAAGTACTGTTTTAAAGTATAGTAAATTATGTAACTAAATGCCAAGAATAATAAATCAAATATTTTTTTGCCGTTTACTAAAAGTTATTAAAGAGACAAAATTAAAACAAGTTTAGAAATAGCCGCCGGTAGAACAGACTAATAATTACCCTTATCAGGAAGTCTTGACAGCTAGTTTACTATTAATTTTAGAACTTTAAACAGAAAATGCAGGAAATTGTTATTTAAAAAATCTCCAACGCATTTGACCATTATATAAATAAAAATGGCCGAGAAAACTAGCACAATCTTTTTATTACTAAGAAAATAATAGAGAAAGAAAGAATGAAAACAATTGAAATTGAAAAAGAACAAAAAATACTTCAGGATTTTAGAGCATATAGGTGTAAAAGAAGTGGTTTAGTTGAACGATAAGTCTCATAGAAAATAATTTGAGTTTTTATATCAGATGAGTTGATTTGATTGTTTCTTGCACATAAGCTCAGTTGAGCAGAAACCATCATGATATTTGCAGAGAGAGACACATTAAAATGAGAGCCCTACTACAAATTATTTGTCGGTTCACAATATAAGACAAGTCTAACTGTTATTTGTATTATTCAAGGGGTTAAGTTGCCTAGTTAATTTTGTATTTTGTATATGAATGAATAAATAATATTAAATAAAAAATAAAATCAAACTAAAAATATTTTTTTAAAAAGTTTAATAGTCTAAAGAGATCAGCAGAAAAAGTCCTAAAGCAAAGCATAAGGTGTAATTAATAACTGTAGAAACTTTAAAAATATCTTTTTAAATTTTTAAAACCACCATTGATTTTTAAAAAAATTATTTTTAAACTTCTTTTTTTTATATATTCCTTCTTTCTATTCACATAAAAATGTTTAAATAAAGTCAATTTTTTAAGTTTATATGCAAGTTTGCTATATATGAAAATAAAAGAAATTTGTATACTAGATTTAATAAAAACTTATTACTATATAGCTATATAAATCTAAATATTAATACGGCAATGAATATTATTAGTGCGCATAGTTACGCATTGTTACGCCTATTGTTCGTTTTGTTAATTACGGTTCTGCATTATGTAAAATACACTATTTCTTAGTTTTTAAGTTGTTTCTAAACTTTTCTAAGCGCAGTTATATATTCCACACAGTCTTTAAGTAAAATCAGCAAGCAAATTGGAGCTGATACACTTACTTTCAAGAAGAATTGATGTTGTTTATTTTTTAAAACAAAAACTTAAATAATTGTTAGTTTGTTGTTGCTTTTTTTTATTTTTTCTAATTTTTATAGCCTGTTTTTTTTTTTTAGAAGAAGTTAGAACAAAAATGTTTGGTAAAATAGTTTTTTTTTAGTAAAATGTTTCTATTTTAGTAAACTGTTTCATTTTGTCATTAGTCTTTTTAGAACATTTTAAGCAAGTATTGTTTTTTTGGAGCAGTTAAGAGAAGCTGATGGTTTTTTTAGTAAGTTCAATTCGTATTCTTATTTATAGATTAAGATTGTTTTTCGCAAAAAGAATTATATATATAAAATAAAGTTTTATATATGTATTTAATATGAAAAGTTAAATAAAATAAGACTGTTATTCGTGTTCGTGTAAGTTTATAAACATAAGTTTGCGTTTATTTTAGTCTATTTTATATTTCTCTATATCTATACTTTAGGTATATTTTCTCTTAGCAAAAATGATTGAGAATAGAAAAATAAAAAGAATTATTCTGGAATTTGTCAAAAGAATTTTGTGTTATGCTTCATTTTAAGGTATCTAAATATGCATTTATTTTTCATTTTTTAGAAGTAGTTAGAACTAAATTGACTGGTAAAATAGTTTTATTAATACAATGTTTCATTTTTAAGAAAACTGTTTCAGTTTTGTCATTAGTCTTTTTAAAACATTTTAAGCAAGTATTTGCTTTATTTTTTAGAGCAGTTAAGATAAAATGATTGCTTTTTTAGTAAGTTTAATTCATTTTCTCATACATAGGCTAAAATTTTTTTATATAGAAAGAATAATGAGAATAAAATTTTATTTATGTATTTAATATAAAAAGTTAAATAAAATAAGACTGTTATTTGTGGTCATGTAAGTTTATATACATAAGTTTGCGTTTATTTCAGTCTATTTTATATTTTATATCTATATGTATATTTTCTCTAAAGAAAAATAATAAGGAATACAAAAATTTAGAAAATTTGCTCTGGAATTTGTCAAAAGAGTGTTGTGTTATGCTTCATTTTAAGGTATCTAAATATATATTCATTAGAAATTTTTAATTTTATTTTTAAACGGTTTATTCTTTTTCATTACTTTAGATAAATATATACTGACTGACATAACTTCATTTTTATTAACAATGTCGTGCATTGTAGTCTGCATTCTTTGTTACATTTCAAATAATTGACGCTAATAAATGTTGTTTTATAATTGTTAAAAGTTTGCATATATGTTTGCATGTATATTATGATCAAAGTTAAAAATTTTTTGATAAATACGTGTATGTGTATATATATCACATATGTTATATAGTTGTTTTATAAACGTGTTTTTATAATAGTATAAAATGTATTATATCATATATTATAAAATGGGGTGTTTTTATATGCTAAGTAAAACTAAAAAAATACATTGTGTTTTATAATTATTATATATGTTTATATAATGTTGTTTCCATGATTTCAAAGTGAAGTGACTTAGCAAATGTGTAGAGCAAGATTTATCAGCCTTACCAGTCAAGCGATGTTACTGCTTTAGGTCTAAGTGTTGCCTAGCCTGTAACATAACTATTCTGAAAACACATTGCTTTATCTTTAATAATTTTTCGCGTAATGTTGTTACCTTTGGTTTATCTTTATGTTGGTGTCAGCTGTTAAAAATGATTAATTGGTAGTTTCATTATTAGAACTCACTGCTTTTATTTATTTACTGAAATTCATTCAAGACATCATTTCGCTATAAATACAATTTGTTTATCATAAAAAAACAATATTTAGCAACTACTACTCAGGCATCACCACAGCTTATCTCTATCAGGTACATTTATTTTCAATTCACATATGATGTTTTTCTTTGTATTTACTTAACGTTACGTTTTTAACTTCAGATTTATGGTGTATTTATTTGCTATAGAAGAACAAATCATTTTGAATTTTTTAAAAATATCTACTCCAATCAACATTCAAAGTTCGTTGTCGCATATACCATTTTTAAGTAGCTTCAAGGCTTTTTTGATGCTTTTCTTATTCAAGTTGTTTTATAAGCAAGGTCTACAAGCAAATTTGAGATAAAAAGTTTTTTAGCTTTCAAGGAGTATCAATGTTGTTCTCTGTTTAATTTAATTTGTTTAAAAAGAATAGTTTTAGTAAATAAATGTTTGCTTTTTTACTTATTTGTTTTCAGATTCTTAAGAACTAGGCAACTTAGCAAAACAAGATTTATTTTAATTTTTAATGCAATTGGAAAGAGCTAAAGTGCTTTTTAGTCATTTCAAATGATTTTAATTTTTTTTTTTTTTTTTTTTTATCTTAAACATAATTGTGTTCATTTTTTTTTAGTTGCCTTTGTCATCACTTAATTATTTTGCTTACTGTTGAAACATGGTTTTAATTTTGTAAATTTAATATGATGTGAAATTTACAATATTAATCATTTGTCAACAGTTAGAGAGAAGCTGGAACTTAATTAAGATATGCTGGAAATTTTTAGTTAACTTTTAGTTAAGGTACAAATAATTTTGTTTATTGGAAGCATAATAAAACCAGTTACTGTTATTTATTGCATGACTTTTTTACTTTTTCTAACATGCTGTTTTTAGGTCTCTGTATAATTTTAAATTCTAATTCTTATTAAGTCTCTCTTAGATGAGACTTAAATAAGAATTAGTATTTAGAATTATACAGGGAGAATTGATTAAATTCATGTAATTACTGAGCTCTTGCGTATTTTTTAATACTGCAATTGGTAATTTGCTATTTAAAGATATAATTCTTTAAATTGTCCCTTAGTTGCTCAAATATTGCAATAAATAAAATCTTTTTAGTTTCAAGTATTTTCTCTTAGGGATCGTCTATATATTACGTAACGCGAAATTAAACATAAAGACAAAAGAAATATCTCAAAAACCGTGTTTCTCTAATGGTCAACTATATGCTGCATTTTCAAGAACTATAGCATTTAATAGTTTGTTTTTCAAAATTAATAAACATCTTATTCAAGGTATAGTAGGTAAAAAAAATGTAACATAAATATTGTTATATTTTTTAATGTTCTTAATTTATAGTCTTTAGATTTTTATTTCGAAAATTTATTGTTAAAAGTTGTGAGCACATTTTGTATGAATAACTTTCTTTATCATTATTTATTTTTTTTCATAATTTTTGGTAAATATATCTATCATTCAATAGTTGTAAAATGTGTTTATATGTGTTACATAAAGTCATATTTGTTTATAGTTGTATATATGTTTAAATTATAAAAACCAAAACAACAATTTATATTTTAGTTTGATATTTTTTTTTTTTATTATTGTAAATGCTTTGGTACTTCGAAACAGGTTTTATAGTTACATTTTCGATAAATCCTTAACTGCAATTTCAAAATAAGTTACTATAAATAGGTAAATTGATTTTTGGTAATTGTGTGGTGGTTTTTGTTTTATTTTTCTTTGTAATTATGATATCATAATTACATTACTTTTTTATTTTAGAATTAGGTTGTGACGCATTTATAAGATTTATAAAATAAAATAACCTGATTTCTTTTTATTGTAAACTTTTGTTAGTTAAAAAGATAAAAATATATGCTATTAGTTAATTTTGTATTTTATCTATTTTATGCCTAATAATTTGTTGTACGTATTTTAAGTTGATCTTTGTAAATGGGGGGTCGTAACTAAAACCCTTTAAAAATATGAATATTGTAGTTTTGCACATTATTATCGAGTTACTTAAGTTTTAATTATTATTAGTTAGCTTAGTCTGCATTTGCAACACTTTTTAGGAAAGAAAGAAAACATTCTTATATATGTAGATCATTGTTTTACATTTTATTATTTTATTTTATTCACCTGGCCACCATTAAAGCAAAAGAGGGAAGGAACCTCTTTATTAGAGTCAAAATATTTAGGAAAATTAAATTTAGTTGCAAAAGGAACTTTTAGTAAATGGTGTTATATATATGAGTGTTATATATATATTATATATATTATATATATATAAATATGTTATATATATATATTATATATATATATATATATATATATATATATATATATATATATATATATATATATATATATATATATATATATATATATATATATATATATATATATATATATATATATATATATAAATGTTGTTATATATATTATAAATATGTTATACATATGTTATATATATTATTATATAGATTTTATATATATGTTATACATATATATGTTATATATACTCATATATAATAACATTATATATAATGTTATTATAAATGAGTTACAAAAAGAATTTTTAGTAAATGGTGGCAAACTACCATTTTCTAAAAATTAATGAAATAAAGAGGCTAAACAAATAATATAGAAATGGTCTGTGTTGAACAGACTTATCAAGACCCGGGTCAAGTCAGCTTGGTTTACAAATTTTTATGTCAACTTATCTCTTATAATTTTTATTTTAGATTTGTCATATGATGCATTAATGCATTAAAAAATTAGTTATACGCATCTTTGATTGTAAATTAAATTTTTTTTGTTTGAAAGATATTTGTACTCAGTTGCGTAGTTATTAATAATAAACTTTGTTATTTTTAATAAATTTATTTAAATGTGTGCATTTAACATTTTTAAGTTAACAATTTTCTTTTCTAAAGAACAATTAATCAAGGGGATACCAAAAAATTGATAACTCCTGTATAATATAAGTTAACTTCATTTTAATCTTAATGGTTTGTGTTATAAAAATTATTACTAGGATTTAGTTGACACTTTCGTCAATTTAAAGCATGACCAAGTGCTATTGTTTTGTGTCAGTAACTAAAAACGTATTGTGTTAAACTTAGGAAGGTCGATGAAAATGGTTCTGCCTTACACTGTTATGACCTATGCCATTTGTAAATTACTTAAATAATGTTAAGTAGTAATTGTAAATGTTAAGTAGTAGTTGGTAAATTATTTTACCTCCTCATACATTTTATGTTAATTTTACAGATGGATTAATTTTTTCAAGCTAAAGGCGATTTTCTAAAAGGGTATTAGTTATGGTTTTGCAACATTAAATTGTGGAAAACAGCCACTATAAATTAATCATGTAACAGACCGACCAAAACATTTTTGCTAGTAATAATTATTAATACTCATTTTAACATAAAAAATTTAAAAATATATAAAAGTATATAAAAATATACAGTTGCTTTGTCTCCTTCACAATATTCTGGTAAGTCACATTCTCCATAAGCTACCCGACATAAAGTACCTTGGCTCTTGAACTAGAAAAAAAAACGTACTAAGTTTAGGACAGATTTAATTTAAGGAAACTAAGGAAAAAAAAAACATTATGTAAAAAAATTGTGAAAACGTTTAACACAACCAACTGCTTCTGGTTTTATTATTTTCTAACTAATCATCAGAACACAAAAGGTTTATTAGAGAGTAAAGTATCAAAAATATTATATAATCACTAAAATAAAATGATTCCTAAGGGACCAATAAATGACTCAAAAAACAAAATAATAAAGTATTTACATTACCAAAAGTTAACATACTAACAACTAAAGGGTCAGACATGTTCTCACTAACTAAAGGTTAGTAAAGAAATTTTTAAACAGACACTGTTACCATAAAAGAGATAATTCAGATGTTGCTACTATCTTAAAATTGTGGGCACAAGAAAAAAATTCTAGGGAAAAGAATGCTATTTATGTTTAAAATATTAATAGGTAAAATATCTATCTTTGAAATTGTACAAGTATAAATAATAAAAAGTTAGAAAAGAAATTGTTTTGTATTGACAAAGTATGAAAATTATTAGGAAATGTTGAAATAGAACAACTGTCAATGGAACTGTGAAAATGTTAAAAAAAAGTATTTATATAAACGAAAACTTACATTTAATCAGACATTAATAATTACACTACCTAAAGATTAGTAAAAATATTTTTACACCAACACTGCTAATATGAAAGAGATGGTACAGATGTTGCTACCATTAAAAAATTTTGAACAACAAGAAAAAAACTTCAAAGGAGATTAATGCTACTATGTTAAAAAACTGTTATTTTAAACATTAAGCTTTAAAATTGAATATATGTTTATAATTAAAGATTTAAAAAAATTCTTTTGTTGTTGATTTAAGGTGACCAGATGTAGAATCTTTTTGACTGATTTAATTCTGAAGCCAGAAACTGGATTTGTTTAGCTTTGCAAGTAGGTTTTGTAGCCACAGTTTACCCGATTATAAAGTCAATTTAAATTAGTTTCATAATGAGCAAATGGATCTGGTAAAGAATTGCATACAAATAATTTCTATGAAAGAAATTATTTGTATGCAAAATTGGATGACAAAAATGTTGAAACAATTTGCTGATATTAACAGTTTTGTATGTTTAATAACTTTTGATACAGTAAATATTTTTATTGTTTGAATGTCCCCCTTATCAGAAGGTTTGGTAGACTTACCCAACTGCTGCTGATTTTGAAGGCCTAGTCAAAATCAAAAGTATTTTAATGAGTCACAGTTTATAATTGATATTAATGAAGCTGATAAGGTAAACCTGTAGTTTTTTCAGAAAACTCTGTAGTCTCAAATATTTTACTTACAGATTTAATCATAATATCAAAAAAAACTAAATTTGTGATCAACTTCTTCCTCTTTTTGATTTTGACGTTGGAATGTTGTTTATTTATATGTTGTAGAAAAGTGAGTGTATAATTATGACTTTTGAAGATACAAAAGATATCATCTACATACCTTTTGTATAAAACTACTTTCTCACAATTATTGTTTTGTTTATTCTCCATTTATTTAACCATAATTAATGAAAATTTACAATGATAAATTATAAATTTACATAAAAAAGGTTAGGTGTCACTTATATAGTTTATTATTATTATTTATTTTTTTAATTCACCTCCTCAAGGCCGAGAATGCCACTACAGACGAGGAGGCTACTTATTTGTGGTTATAACCCTCTCTCAACTCTATAACTCCGAAACACGAACCTTGACGAGCAAGGCCGCTGCGCGGAGAAAGGAGTTGAGCGCGGTACTACCAGGGACGTGGTGGGGATCGAACTCGGAACCACTCGTTTATGAAGCGAGCGCTCTACCACTACACCACTACCGCATTTTAAAACTAGTCAATGGAGTGACACCTAAAAAAAAATAAAAAATAAAAAAGGAAAGAATGATAAACAACAATAACAATAAAACTACTTTGATTATCATTATAGGTAATAATATTGAGGCAACAAAAACAAAAATATATAAATAATAATAGTAATAACAATAATAAAAATAGTAGTAGTAATAATGCAAAGAATAATAATAACAACAACAAAAATAAAAAAAATAAAAATAAGTGTAATTAATTAAATAATATATTGAAGGAATAGTAATAAATAACATTAATAATAGATAGAAAGAATAATAGATAGAAGGAATAATAGATAGAAGCAATAATAGAAAAGGAATAATAGATAGAAGTAATAATAGATATAAAGAATAAAAAAAGATACCATTAATATTCTTTAGATATTTGCTCACATATAAATTTCTTAATTAGGTTTCTATTGAAAAGAAGAAAGTTAGTAACAACAGGGTATTTAGTTAAAATCTTTTTTTTTATAAAAGGTATTAATTGGTTTAAGTGAGAAATACATTGATGTTTTACGGAGAGCTCGCCATACTTGACAGTATGAAAAAAAGAAGGGTGCAAATTACCATTTATAGTAATACGAGTATAGTATTAATGTGTATCACTTGCTTTAATGAAAAAATTGTTAAATGCACCCGGCAGTTTATTTATAACATATATATATATATATATATATATATACAGTATAGTTGATGCTAGAGTATGTTTAGGAACATAGTGTCATATTTTAGATAACATACTATTGGCTCGAAAGAGTTTTTTATTTAATTAAATCATTTGATAATTCTAAGATTTTGTCTAAGTTCACTTTTTAACTAATTTTTTGTCAAGAAATATTCCGAGATATTTTATAAATTCAGAAGAAAAGATTCTTTTACCGTTAATTTCAATTTTAACATTATCATTACTAATTATTTTTTTTGCAGGGTGAAGAATAATGAATTCAGTTTTGTTGATATTTAGAGAGATACGATTACTATTTAACCAAAGACACTAATGATGGAAATCTGAATTAACTTTATACAAAGCTGAGTAAGTGATTTAATTATGCATAGAAGATTGGTATCATCAGCAAAATGGTGAACAATAGAATTGCTTATAGAGTGAGACAAGTCGTTTGTATATATTAAAAACAGCAAAGGCCAAGAACAGAACCCTGGGGCGCACCATATTTGATAAATTTTTTGGAGGATTCAAACCCATTAATGGAGACAAAGTGGCTACGATTTTCAATATATGATGAAAACCAATTATTAGCTATACCCGTATGCCATAGTAGTATAACTTTTTAATTAAAATCTTGTGGTCGACTGTGTCAAAAGTTTTTTAGAAATCAATAAAGACGCAACAAGCAAATGAACCACTATTGATCGCACCACTAATCATTTCAGTAATACTAATAAGAGCATGTGAAGTAAAATTTTTTAAACGAAAACCAAACTGGCGGCCATATAAGCACTTA